ATAGTAAAAAATCATTAGCCAGGTTGCTGATGTCATATAATCCATTAAGAAGTATTTATCTAGCCTTTAATTTATGCCAGACTTCAGCCTGGTTTACTAAAGAGGATTAAAACATAAGTCAAATATATAATCCTACTGATTGTGATTATAACCTAGCCAGAGAAGCAAGGCTGATTGAGGAGACATTTGAGTTGCAGGTAGGAGACAGTGCAGGCCCAGTCTGCTCATATGCCCAGTGACCTCGGGCCTGGGTGTCAGGCAGATCCCAGAGCCACAGAACCAAGGAAGTTTGTTAAACTGTTCACAAGGGGCTGAGTGAGAACTTGTCACGTGTCAGAGGGGGGCTGTTATGTAGCACAGCACACACTGTGTGCTCAAAGCCTTTTAAAATATCTACTCAATGGGCACCTGAGTGGCTTAGTCATTAAGCATCTGACTTTGGCTCAGGTCATGATCTCACAGTTTGTGTCACAGTTTGAATCCCACATAGGGTGAGCTCGAGCCCCACTTCAGGTGAACACGAGCCCCTCTTTGGGTAAAACACAAACCCTGGTGAGCCCTGCTTCTCTCTCTGTCTCTCTCTTTCTGACTGCCCCTTGCTCACTTGTGCCCTTTCCCTCTCTCTCTCTCTCTCAAAAAAATTAATAATAAAATATGTACTCAATGTAATTCTCATAGCAACGCTGTGAGGTGAGAGTTATTATTAAGCTCATTGCACAGGTGAGGAAACAGAGGCACAGGAATGTAAAGTGACTTGCCCAAGATCACACAACTGGTAAAGATAAAATCAGGATTCACGTGCAGGGTAGCCTGGTGCTCAGTCTTCTCTTAGCCACCGTGCAGTGAAGTCTCCGGGCTGTCGTCCTTGACAAGTAGAGGACAATGTCTAGACAGGGTTGCAAAGGGGGGTCACAGGGAAGGTTTTGGTTAGGGAAAAAGAAGTGATTAGCTATGCACTGTTGAGTTGGTGGTGAAAGCAGGATATACAAGTGTAAATATTGTCAGTATGGGCCTAGGGCTCTGCAGGGAGAGTCTTGCTACTCCTTGTACATCTGTGCACTGACTTTTTGAAGGAATAAGCAGTTTGGGATCAGTGAAAGTGCTTCTAATGCTTACTGGTGTCCACATCTTTACTTTACTTTGTTAGGACACTGGTTGTGAGCTTTATTTTCTTTGGGTTGATTCCATCCTCAAGAGTCTATGATTAGTTTAGGATTAGAACTAGTTGCATTAAAACTCATTATTAATGACAAAATAATAGAAACAATGCAAGATACATACTTGCCTAGAAAGTATTTTTATACAGTGTGATTTACTTGGAATAGATTTTAAGGTATTTTTCACGTATCTACCATGAGAGAGGAAATGATCTTATCATGTAAATTAATATGGAATTGACACATACCTTTCCTTACCATGTTCAGATCGATTCAAATGAAGAGTTAAGCGTGATAGCTTGTATTTTCGATGTAGCACAATGCAAAGAAAAAATAAAGTTCTAGTAATCATTGAGTTCACTTTGGAAAGCAAAAGTTCTCTGAAACTGGATGTTGAATTAAGTGATTTTGTAATCCTCCAGTGTCTGATAGTTCTTTAATATTAGGAAACAAAGTCTATTCTGTCTGTTGCCAAAGCCGGCTTACCAGAGTTACAAAGGCTACTCTATGGGACCTTCTCAGGGTCCTGCCATCCCTCCTAGGTTACCTATGTAAACTCCTTAATTTCAGGATGTATTAAAAAGAACATTCTGCATCAAGAGCGTTTTATCATGATATATTAATCTGTCTAATCAAGAGAGAGAAATGACACAGTAACTTGAATGGAGAAAATTTAATATGAAGAATTATTAACCATCACAAAGAATTTGATGAGGAATTGGTTGGTAAGAGCTAAAGAAAACTCTAGAGAATATAAGAATAGAAGATTTAAGAAGCAACCACTACTCCTAGAACTGAGATAAGCTGCCCAAGGAAGAGATTCTCTAGGGTGAAGATTTTGATTTTACTGGAGAGGTCAAAGCTGTGGTCACTAGATGGCAGAGAAGCCGGTGTGGTGTGGTGTGATGTGGTGTAGTATGGTGTGGTGTGGGGTGGGGTGAGGGGGGGTGGGGTGGTGTGATATGGTGTGATGTGGTGTGGTGTAATATGGTGTGGTGTAGTGTGCTGTGCTGTGCTGTGCTGTGATGTGGTACAGTATGGTGTCATGTGGTATGGTATGGTATGGGGTGGTGTCGTGTATTATGGTGTGGTGTGGTGTGGGGTGGGGTGGTGTAGTGTGATGTGATGTGATGTGATGTGATGTGCTGTGATGTGGTACGGTATGGTGTGGTGTGGTGTATTATGGTGTGGTATGGTGTGGGGTGGTATGGTGTAATATGGTGTGGTGTGGGGTGGGGTGGTGTGATATGGTGTGGTGTGGTGGAACTTGCCAGAAATATGCTCCGTAGGGTGCTAAGGCAAGCTCTTCACAGGGAGATGTCTCCCTGGAAGTACTCTGTCATACAGCCACACAAAGTGTGGGAAAGGCAGCTGCTGCTGAGTACTACAGGAGCCTAGTGCTGGGGAAGTCACTCACGCTGCTGCAACAGAGCACTTCAGAACCAAAAAGAAAAGAACCTTTTCTTCTACTAGGATTTTCCATCACCTTTTATCCACAAAGGTTGACATTGTACCAGCTGTTGAAGAGAAAATGTTTAAAGAATGCGTATCCATTTTCACAGGGCAGGCAATGCACGATGAATGTGGGACTAAGCAGCAATGCATTGGTAACTTGCATACCTGGGAATCCCTATCTATCCACTTTCAGGGTTTTGACCAAGGGCTTTTAAAAGCTGTTTTCCTGAACTTACAATAAAATCACTTCATTTTTATTTATCTATGATAACTTTAAGGGAAATTGACTCACTCTAATGAATCCTTATGTCACATTTGTGCCTCACATAATTATCTTCACATTATTTTACAGTCAATCATGATGGAAACTATTGTTCACAAAATCAAGTGTCCACCATTTTGTTAGAATGGGAGATTTTTTTGTTTGCAGTGAAAATAGCTTTGTGTTATTTTAAATAGTATAGCAGATCAGTTTTCAGATATTTCTTGCCTCTACACAACCATTAGATGTTAAGTAAGCTAGGGAGAGGCCAGGACTGAGCCATTTTTGTTTAGTATAAATTGCCAGCATCTGGCACAGTGAATGACCCATAGTAGATGCTAAGTTGATTATTTATCAATGTAAAATAGATTACAATTGCCCAAGTTCATGGGTAAACTATTCTTATCACTGAGAAATACAAGCAATAGTTAGGTTTGTGTAAGACATTAGGTATAGAATAATAACTATGTATATTTAAAATGTGTAGTATAAGGCACATACCGTATGTATTAAAAGCACAGTAAATTCTTTCCAAAGAATTCCAAAAATCTTTAAAAAAAATCATAGTTGGAGGAGCCACAGAAAACCTGTGAGGAGAAAATATCCATGGTGATACCATATTCAAAGAGAGATCTCAGAAAGTCAGTGAATTTCATTAGGTGTCACAGTTACAAGTTCTGGAATACAGTCCTTTTCAGAAAGGAATAAGAACTATTATCTTTGGTTTGAGAAACTTTTGTTATTATTATCCTTGAGAGAAGGGGGTTTCTTGTTCCTGCCAGCTTTATTTGTTCAAGATATACCAATCTTGATGGGACAAAGAAGCCTAGAGAAATAACATGCTTGTGAGTTTATATGCTAAATGTGTCAATTTATGCATGCAGAAATGTTATAATGAATAAAAAAATCATTAAGAGTTGAGAGACGAAACTTCAACCCCATATTTTAGCACTCTAGTTGTTGTGATTTAGAATCCAAGTATCAACTAATGGTCATTTAGTTGCTATAAAGGGATGATAAGGAAACAGGAGGAAAAATGAGAAAAGACTGATAATTATAATCTTCGAATCAACTTATGTAAAGACACGGTGGTATAGAATTCTTTCTATTTTCTTATTGTAATTCCCTTAAATTTATATTTCTTAATACTATTAGTAAGAATTACTTTTTTCCTTCTTAATTAGTACAGCTACTTTCTCATGGATAGGGAAGGGGTAATATGAAAAGAAATACGTATTAAGATTATATATCAAGTTACTTTCTTTAGCATCTTCACTTAGTAGAATATAGGTTACATATGTAATATAGTATGAATAAGGCAAAGGAAGAGACAGTGATCATGATTAATTCATATTTATTGAGATTTCAGTGAGAGTTTGGCATCATATTTTATAAAAGCACTAACTTCTTGTGAATTGCTTTTTATACTTTTGCTCTGTTTTGTACTTTTGCTCCTTTTAACTTTAGATTGAAGTTGCCGGCACCTTGAAATTCTGAAACCGGAGGAGTGGCAGAGAATAGGGCAAAGAGTTGTTGTTGTTGCTGTTGTTTTTCTAATAACAAAATCAAAGGATATAATAGCAACGATAACAACAACAATAACAAAATTCTAGAGTTGCCTGCATTCCTGAAGTTGTGAGGGCCCCTGGGTAAAGGAGGTAGTAACACAAAGTATCTGTGTTCTCATGTGTTGTATCCACTTAAATTATGTATATATGTTACCAACAGAAACTTTTTTTTTTAAGCAAAAAATCACAGCGATTCTCTGTTGTTTGTGAGTTGAAACACTAGGGGACAGCACTAAAATATTCCATAGTTGGTTGTTATTGATCACTTGCATACTGTATGATAAGTAAGAGATTTTACTGTTAAAGACTATTGAATGCCCTGTTGATTTCAGTGGATAAAAAAGCACAAAGGGAAGATGAGCTTTTCAAGTCCATAATTTCAGCCTTTGTAAGATGACGATTTGAATAATTTAAAGAAAGCTCCCAGGCTGCTCTTTCAGATGTAAGAAGGCATGATAACTTAAAGAATTGTGAGTTTTCTGATAAAAGTGTTTCGTTCTTTTCATTCTTTTGGGGTAAATATTTTGCCTATTTTTTATTTCTAATCTTGTTTTCCAGGCACTTTGGAAAGACATGAAACAGGAGAACGAGCAAGAATTATTCTCAATTGTTGTGATGATGCACAGCTTCTAAAGCCTGAATCTGTACTTCCAGTTACCTCAGAGACACATAAGCACAAAAGTATAGAACAGAGATCCTCCAGCCCCTGTCAATTTGGGTCAATACCTTGCCCTGGTCTGCAGGTGGAGTCTTCATGTAAGGTAAGTTCAAACCAAGTTGCTGCGCACAGAAAACATGATCAACCCTGAGTAAGAAGTAATATGCCTTCATGAATATGAGGCAATTAAATATCAGCAAAAAAGAACTCAGAGATGATTGTACCAGACAGACATATCTACCAAATGATCTCGGGTGAATCAGGATAATTTTTAAGTGATTATTATGTTTTGTATAGCATTCTTTTTTGACAACATAGGTTCTGGCTATCATAATTGAGTCAATCTTATATTAACTCTTGAATTCCAGATGGTTTTCAGTTGGGGGAGGGGCTATATTCTGTGGTCTGCATCCATTTTTTTTTCAGTCGAGTATAGATGACCTCTTTTTTAAAATGCTTATTACAGATAAACCAAAACAGTACCACAAAAACTGGATCATTGTGTGGACAAGTTTTTTGATATGCTCAGCACCTGTAGGATTACCAGCTCCTTAGAATTCCAACTCTCAGTTAACACACAATGATGGAGCTTGCATTTAGTTTCATAAACCAAGTCTTCACTGAGATTTGGATCAGCTTTCTTCTTTTCAGTTTTAAAATGATATAGTAATTTAATCCAATTTCTTTAAGGGACTTTTTCCATCTTTTTGTCATCTATATTTCTAAGTTATCCGCTCGTCATGTTGTTGTAACTATGCCATTTATATATATATATATATATATATATATATATAATGGAATATTTTCCATGTAAACATATTTTCCTAATATTATCTGTCTTTTTAAATGACTACATCATGCTCTCTAAACTTTGCATATACTATTACTATACACTGATCTGATTGTTTTCCTGTGGCTTAATATGTGGGTAATTTTTTATGTTTCACTTTCATGAATAACTTATAAATGAATCTTAAAGCTTTTTTCCATATTCAGTATTAATAGGACGTATTTCTAAAAATGGGATCTCTAAATCCAAATTTAGCTGATTATTGTTCACATTTTCGATTATTTTAGTGGTATTTTAATGAAGACTGTTGAAACATCATTAACAAAGAGTTTAAATTAGGCTTTGTTTTATCTCACATGCATGGATATGGTTAGGGGCAAAAGGATGTGTTATCTTCAAGAAAGATCCATGGGCTGCTCAAGCTATGCCTCAGAGTGCAGGGGGGGAAAGAAGGGGGTCCAGTGTGCTTTTTGGGATCAGAGCTCTGATTTATATTTATCAGTCTTTTGAGAACTGAACCACACTAACCAAACACCCAAGAAATACATATAAAAACTAGAATGACAATTGTCCAATCTACAGTGATAAATATAATTGACATTTTGTTCATCCCTCAGCATATTCTCCTTGCAGCAAAGCTACAGGTAGTTGAGGAGAAGAGGGAGATGAAGTTTTCACAGAGGGCTCCTTGATGAGCATGGATTCAGAGGCAGGAGGTGCTCATTCACCGAGCTTTGAGATTCTGATATACATGGAAATAAACAATTGATATATATTGATATAATCTGATATACAGTGATACATTGACAAATTCCTAAATTTTGGATTTTTAAAGTCTCCATTTAAACCACCCACTTTTATTTATACTTTCCTCCTTCAGAAGTTAAAACCAGTCATCAGGCTTTACAGCTCCTTGTTGTTTGTTTGTTTGTTTTCTCATTTAGGCAAATTGGCTTTAGATTCTCAAATGTGCTTTTTATGATTTTGAAAGGGGTTGTATTTTATAAGGAAAATAATGTCAATATGCTGAAACTTCAATATTCACAAATGAAAACTACAGTCATAGGTCTTAGTCTCCAAAGGTGGAGTACTCCATGTTTGTTGTAAGGTTGAGGTTAAAAAGCCCAGTGAGTAAGCCCAGGTGGCCACCAAGCATTCCCATCTTAATGTGACTCTGTTACTTTGTATGCATAATAGAGTGTGCATCTTATATTGGGAATTATAGGCTAGAATAGTAGATGAGGAATTGGAGATGTCTCTGGACTTGTGCACGTCAGATGTGCATGTCAGATGGCTCGAATCTCCAGTAGCAAATCTCATTCATCAAGTGCCTATTTTACTAGTTTCATTCCCACAAGGTAAACTGATTATATTTCTTCCAGTTTCTTGGAGGACCTCAGAGTTACCCGTTAGGTAGTGGTAATAGTATATATAGATTTCATTTTCTTTATGTAATTTTGTTCTTTTCTTGACTCTAGGAAGCAATAAAATGCCAGGGTCTTGTTTTCTTACTCTTAGGCTTATTCTGGCTTTATTTCCTTGCTCCTGCCCTTTGCCTTTGATGACTGTGATTTCGAACCTTCGTTTTCTTCAGAGCTTAATCAGACAGGACTATCTCCTCCTTTGTTCTGTACACCATGCTTCTATTATTATTGAGCTTACCGCTAATTAGGGCTATTTTTATCTGTGCTTTCCCTAAGTTATATCTTCTATTATGTGCTGCACATCTTCTTTTCATTCTTTTGATTTAAGCTGTTGAGATTATTTTTATCTTATTCTTATGTACAAATTTAATATGCATGAAATTTCAACAATGCTTGTAAATACTCCCTTCTTCTTATTGTTGATATAATAAAATGCTTCATGTATTTTCATAAGAAAATGAATTAGTTTTAAAGAAGAGGATTTGAATCACACTCGTTTAGGTGGGAAAATGAGGGACAGTAACTCTGTGAAATGTAGAAATATCTAAAGTAACTTTGTGCTTCAGAACTTTTTTTGTGTGGATTTTTGTGGCACGCAGTGAATTTTTTTCAAAGGGTAGAGTGAACTGTTTAAAAGGAAGAATACCATGTTAGATCTGTGTGGTGAGCGATTTTGTGTTCCGAAATATTTGGAATTTATTTGAATGCTGTATTCAAGGTTTCTTCTTGCGTTTGAAGAGTACATATATATTTGGAAACAGATTTTACAGAGAACAACAAATACAATACGACGCTTTGAAAACGGGTCCAATTTGAAATGCTAGAGGAGCTGAATTTGTGCAGCTAGACAAAGAAAAATCTTTGGGGTAGGAGAGGGCCAGAGTCTTAAAGGATTTAAAGGAATACAATATCATATTAGTGATGGGGAACTGCTTTTCTCAGATTCTGCTAAGGATAAAACAAGATAGAAACTGTTTAAATTGCAGTGGGAGGAATTTAGCTTCAAAGTAGGAAATAAACAACCTTACTAAAATCATCTCTACATGGCAGAAAGCTTTGTAGCTTCATCATATTTTAAAGAGAGAGAAGGCCTGTTTTGTCTGTCGGTTCATTGGTTGGTTTTAAGCTCCTTTGTTTTTTGTTTGTTTGTTTTTCATTTCTTATCTATAAGTGAGTAATAAACATGATTATTTTAACTGTCACAATTTAGACCCGTTGTAGTGTCCAGGGAATTTCTTAAAAAAAAAAAAAAAAAAGATTTTCTATAGAATGGGGCCCCAAGAGCTCCCCCAAGTTGATTGTTTAGTGTTGGACTCTTTAATATGGTAGCCGCTGATCATATGTGACTATTGAACCCTTGAAATTTGGCTAACGCCACATGTTAAAAATGATCTTTGTATATATAGGGTTAAATAAGATATGTTATTGAAATCAATTTCACCTATTTTTTTATGTGCCTATTTTAAAAATATGGCTACTGGGCAGTTTACAGTTATATATGTGATTTGTATTTTATTTGTATTGGTCGATGTTGAACTTCACCAGGGATAAGCACACTTCTTTGTAAAGAATCAAGTGATAAACATTTTAGGCTTTGCGGTCCAGATTTTCACTGTTGTCATTACTCAACTCTTGCTGTTGGAGCACAGAAGCTACCATAAACAATTCCTAAGCAAATGAGTGTGATTGTGCTCCAAAAAAACTTTATTTACAGATATAGGGAGCAGACCAGATTTGATTCTCACTGGTTACAGTTGGCCAATTTCTGATCTAGATAGTCTTCACTAGAGTTAGAGGTCATGAAGCACTAGGAGGGACTGGCGAAGCAGCCAACACCTCTCTTCTCTTTAGATATCTGAATTTTTAATAAAACAACTTATTCAAACTTGTGTACTATGTGGAATGCAATCCAAAAGACCTGGCATCAAGTCTGTTTCCTGACAGAAATCACAAAATGCATATGTTTTGGAAATCTGCCTTTTATGAAAACAAATGTGCACTTTATAGCTCCCAATCCAAATAAGATTGTTTAATGGCATTTCCTTTAAATAATGTACTTATACCTACATCTTCATCCAAACATAGAAAATTGATTATTGATAAAGAATGCATTTACATTTATTTATATTCCAGCGAGCTTTCTAGAAATATGTTTGTATTTTTGTAACCTTTACTTGACCTTAAGTCATGTCTGTTTGGTGCCATTTGGTGAGAAAATCTTATCAGAACTTTATCCTACCACCTCTTGTAAAACATGGATGGTGCACTGGTACGCCACCAGTAGAAAACTGGACCCCACTAGTAATCACTTTATCAAAATGAAATGTTAGTTCTTTCAAATGCTGTGATGCAAAAAGATAACCAAAATAGAATTGGAGCAATTTTTAAATGATAATGCCTAGGGGCGCCTGGGTGGCTTAGTCGGTTAAGCGTCCGACTTTCGCTTAGGTCATGATCTCGCGGTTCGTGGGTTCGAGCCCCGCGTCGGGCTCTGTGCTGACTGCCAGCTCAGAGCCTGGAGCCTGTTTCAGTCTGTGACTCCCTCTCTCTCTGACCCTCCCCTGCTCACGCTGTCTCTCTCTCTCTCTCCTAGAAATAAATAAAAAACATTAAAAAAAAATAAATGATAATGCCTAAAAATGTCACCTGCAAATCTACATTTATAAATATGAAAAAAATAGTTCATGAGACATTACATGTGGTTAGCTTTGTTTTTATTGAATTATTTATATTTTATTGCCAACATTTAATCATTACAGAAAAGAACAAATAATATGTATTAGAAAAGAATTCATTGCACTACAATGGGGATAAATCCTTAATAAAAAATGATAATTTTCACTGTTTTGAAGAGTAGTTAATTTTTGGTATATTTTTTAAATGTAACAA